CAGAAAAAAAAAAAAAAAAAAAGTTCTATTGTGCCTATGGCGCCACTGTTAGATATTTTGTTAGAATATTAGCCATAGTGGGGCGGGAGTGCCCTGGGCCCGTTTTGGCCTAAATGATTATTCTTAAGCTTATGTTAAATGTATCTTGAAGGGCCTTCCAAAGGTCAAGAAGACTTCTGCCTAGATGTGACTTCAGCACACCTTCTATTGTGACCATGCTGGGGTGAAGCATTGTAATTAACAGTAGGTGGTCAGAGCAAAGGGGAGTGGTTGGGAGACTTTTGGGAAATTTTATCATATACTCAGGATGTATAAGAAAGCGATGTAATTCTTTAATAGTATATTAGGGAGCCAGAGGAGGGTCACTTCCCAGCAAGGCTACCACAGTTTCTGGAGCAAATAGCAAGCAGCCTTGCTGACATGCTAATTTGACATAATTTTATTCCTAGGTCGGGGGGTGGGGGGGGGCACACAGCAGCAGCCTTGCCAATGTGCTGACCCGACCTAAGTGATACTTAAAAGTCAAAAGCTCAAATAAGATCCTTAGGCCCTATCAGGTCAGACTCCTCCATATATTGTATATGAGTGTATATGTGTATGTATGTGTGTATAAATTTTATATTTATGATACAGTGAGTGTACAGAGGGAAGTGTACAGAGTGTGAGAGAGAAGTACCCTCCACAGGACTTGGTCACACCATGATCCCCTGCCTTCAGTCTTCCAGAATCCTGTGCACATGTGCATGCTCATCCAGTTTTCAGGTTGACTATGCTGGGAACTCAAACTGTGGTTGGCTGGGGGCTTCCAACTCCATAGTCCAGTATGCGGCTGGCTGTGCCAGAAGCTGGCCATACACTTACTTTCTTAAAGCATTGCTTTCAGTAACCTTGAATCCTGCTGAGAATATCAGGTCCTCTGAGCAGGTCCAGGTTAATCTTAGCTAGTCAGCTTAGGAACCACCTCAACAGGGCTCAGCAAACTTTTTCTATAGAGAACCAGATAGTCATTAGTTTGTAAGCCATCTGCCTCTGTCTCAACATTTAGCTGGTAGTTCAAGGGCAGCCCTATCCTACCCGTAAAAGAATAGGCAGAACTGTTCCATTAAGTGAATCTTCTAAAACTCACCTCAAAGGCTAGGGGCACTTTTGCATACTTTGACACAGTTTGAGTTGAAGGTAAGAGTATGGGGAGGATTTGCAAAGGAGCCAGGCCTTTTGAAGTAAGAGTGTGAGTGGGGACTTACATGATTACTGTAAGTAGTCCTCAGGGGGGACTGTGGGGGTTATAGAAAATATGTCTGAAGAGGTCACATGAGCCACCTGAGTTACCCTGAAGAACGTGCTGATGGTGACCCTAAGGGTGGGAGAGTTTTTCTACTGGGTTATAGTAAGACATTATGGTCTGTCTTTGAATGTTAAAATGCTATGAAAAAAGACTCAGTGTTATCAAAGGATCACAGAATTTCAGAGCTGGAGACGACTTTGCGTTTATTTTGGAAGTGGAAAATCATCCTAATTAGAATCCAGTTCTGATTCCATGTCAGTGGGTTTTCTCTTAGACCTTCCTTTTCTGTCAAGAAAAAAAAGAAAAAGTGCATAGTCCTGTTTTAACCTGCAGACCTGGAAGTTTTGAATAAGGAACCCTAGATGGATAACAGCTAGGGGGAGGGTTGGGTTTTTTTTGGTTTTGATTTTAGTTTTTTTTTTTTTTTTTTTTTTTTTTTAAAGAGATTTTTGCTTAGGCATATGCAGCGCTCACTGGGGAGACAGAGACAGACAGAAAGCAAGAAATCACCCCCCAGGAGAGATGGCCACGGTGCAGTCCCTTCTCTACCATTCTCCTCTCAGGCTTTTGGGCATGCAAGTACACATGCCCAGTCTGAGTTTTAAACCACTAGGTCCAGGACTTAAACCACAGTCTACTACATGGGAGTCCAGTGATGCAACCATTATGCCATCTGCTGGTCCCTGATTTTAGTTTTTGCTACAGGGTGCATGTGCTCATCAGAGAGCGACAAAGAAAGAAGAAAAATGAGAAATGATCCTCCTACCCCGGGTGAGGGGTGGAGGGGGCTGGCCTTGACACAGTCCCTTCTCCTCCAGTCTCTCTTAGGATTTTAGGCATGCATGTACACATGCCCGGTGTGATTTTCCAGCCACCAGGTCCAGGACTTGAACTGTGTAGTTGGCCCATTGGGACCCACCACCTGAACCTCCATGCTACCTGCTGGCCCAATAGCAAGTATTTTTATTTTATTTTTTTTTAAGAACCTTACTTTTTCCTCTTCTGCTTTCTTATAGATGGATAGCCTATGAAGGATCCAATTTCTTGGGAAGACAAATCTTACTTGAGCCTAATGAAATCCCAAATTGGACAGCATTCAGTAGATGGAAAACAATTGGTTCCCTTCGTCCTATGAAACAGGTAAGGAGAAAAGAGCCATAAGCTACAAAATTCAAGGCGATTTTTCTGGTAGAAATGTCCTAAGACTTCTAGCACCTAAAATATTGACTATTTAATTTGCCGTTTATGTAACAAGGGGAGCAGATTAGGATGGAATCTTGTAGCTTTTGACCAATTTATAAAATTGTACCTAAGGTTAACACTGGATTTTAGCTTTGAGTTCAAAGTTATTGACTGTTCATTTCTCATGGAAAAATAAGATATTGTAAGCTCCGTGGCAAGCACTGGAAACAAGAATGAACTTTGGTTTTACTTTCTAAGTATTTGAATTTTTTTTTCCTACTTACATAATACTCAGGATGGATCCTGGCAATTTAGTTAAAATAGTATTTATTGCACACCTACTGCTTGTCAGTCTTCTGTTCAAAAGCTTCCCACTACACATAGGATACAATCTTTACTTTCCAGCCTTGCCTGTGTGATCTGACTCCCCCTGCACCTCCAACCTTCTCTCTTAGAGATCTCCTCACTTACATGACTGGGTCACATGCATGGAAGGGCAGAGGCTTTCCCACTCATGCTCCTATCACAGCCATGCCTTTTGTGTGGAGCGTTCTTTCCCCATTGTTTGCCTACCTAGAAACAAAACAAAACAAAAAAATTTTAAATAAAAACAAGTTTATGCATTTATTTCTTCAGAAAGAGAGAGAGAGGTAAACAGACTCACAATAGGTCCCAGTCAGCCTGGATCATGGCACACATGTGTGCACCTGGCATTCATAAGGAGACTTCAGGATTTGAACCTCGAACCCAGGGCCCTCCCATGTGGGTCCAGCACTAGAGGGAGTTGCTTCACCACTGCACTACCATCCAGCTCTCTGACTGATTTTTGTTTGTTTGTTTTTTGGAGGAGTTTTTGCTATAGTATGTGTGCACTCACCAGAGAGACAGAGTGACAGAAAGCAAGAAATTACCCCCCCAGGGGGGATGGCCACGCCACAATCCCTTCTCTTCCATTCTCTTCTCAGGATCTTGGGGACACACGTACACGCGCCTGGCATGAGTTTAAGTCACTGGGTCTGGGACTCGAACTGCTGTCGACTACATGGGAGTTCAGCGATATAGCCATTACACCAACTGCTGGTCCCCCTGGGGACGATTAATTTTTAATCGTCCCTCTGAATTCAATGTGTTAGGACCATAAAACATATTTCTCACCATTCTCTCCCAATTTAAATTAGGTCTTAAAAGACCTGTTTATTTTTCTACAAGACAGTATATGTGGGAACCACAAAAAGTAGGGTTGGATTTGGCTCTTTTCTGCTCTACAGAAATCCCATGAAGGCAGGGGGTGTGCAGAATTGTTTATCACTCTACTCCTAGTGCCTGTCACAATGGTGGGTGCATAATAGGAGCTCGGGGGCTATTTAACAAGGACGTGAGGTATGAATGGATGAATGAATGTTAGATACTGTGCAAAGTATAATGGAAGATATAAGAATAGACATGTTTTATGTCTTATCAGAGCTTACATTTTTGTTAGGCAAAACATGTTCAATTCAAAACAGTCACATAAAATACAAAACAATACGAAATCATCAAAAATCCTGGGTCAAAGAAGGAATGCGTCAATATGTGTAGTAATGGTGGGGAGAGTTTGTGGAAGATTGAAAACCCAAGATGGTCAGTGTCTATGCTGTCTGTGCCCCTAATTTCTTTAGAAATATGTTTTCACTTTATTCTAGCAACTGTCCTTTGATGTAGGAATTATGATTTCCACTTTCTAGTTGGGGGGGAGGGCACATTGACTGGCGAAAGTCATCCAAGTGTCAGAACCAGGATTTGAACCCAGGCAGGTCTTTCCATGTAAATACTGGGTGTTTCTTCCTTCAGTCTCAGGCTCTTGTCTCTTACGAAGCTCCGTACAACTCCCCATGTCTGTAGAAGCTGAGTGCCTCTCGCTGGTGGGACGCCGTAATAGATTTGAACCCAAATCTATTATGCTCTAAAATCTGTGTTCTTAAGCAACTACACTTTGCTTTCCTCCAAAAATAAGATAAGCTTTTGCAAAGTACCATAGATTCTATGCACCAAACTGAGTGTAGCATTGTGGATGTAAGTGCTGAGGCTGATGTTTGGACTGATACATTAGTGTTCACTAAATAGTAGCCGAGAAAAAGATTAACCTAATAGGCCTTCTGTCATCCCCTTCACACACACTCCCTCAGCGTGAGTTTGGTGAGTCAGTTAATTACCTGGCACCTCATGGAAACAGTGATCACATTGCTTTCCTTTCATTGTTATGTAAATAATGTATGTAAAGGGCCTGATGCAACATCTGGCTCTTATTATTATGATAATACATTTATTTTGAAAATTCATTACGTAGGTGCCCTGGGAGAGAACCAGAAATGCTCTCCTGAGGGTCATGAAAACATGAGGGGCTTTCGTGGCATACAGTGTGTGGTACAGGATCTTAAGACCTTTCATCTCACTTATTGCTCACTCCTGTCATACAGGATCATGGGTAATGCCACTGACAGCCATGGGAAGAGCAGGGTAGAGTGGGAATTCAGTTTGACATTTAGCAACTACCTAACAAGGCAAGGGCTTTGCTGTGAGAAACTTTAGTAGCTGAGTTTTAAAAAAGAGAATGTTTTCCCATTTTTGAATGGTAGTTCCTAGGGAAGAATGCTCCTTCCCTAACTGTTCAAGGTCCTGAAGAAAAGGTATCTACAGTAATAACCTAGTTTTATAAAGATGTTTTTTCAACCACAAAAATGATATGCTATTCAGCAATGTGCTTTAGGAGCTATCAGATTCTTACTCTGACTAAATATTTAAAAATGGCATTCTTAAATTTGCCATAGAGTACATGAGCTCATTGGAGAAAGAAGGAAAGAGGGGAAGTAAGAAAGCACCCCCCTTGGGGCATTGTCACGCTCCAATCCCTTCTACACTTCTACCTATTTCAAGATTCTGCCTCACTCGTGTCTGGTGTTTTTCCCACTGTCAGCTCTAGGACTTGAACCATGCAGTCAGCCATCTTAATCACCGCACAACTTAGCTAGCTTCAAAATAACATTTTAATAGGTTATTTCTCTTGTTATTTAGGCCATAACTCTGAAAGCCAGCAAAGTATTTTGGGGTTTCTGAAATGGTAGTTTCCATATTTAGTTTTTTGGTAAGGCTCTTTCAATGGTGTTAGTTCATATTCTTGTTCAGAAATTCAGAAATAATTAAAATGTGATCTTTGAGGTTGGGAATTAGGGAGTCACTAAGGTACTTATAATGCTTATCAGTGTTTTTAAGTATAATTACAGAGGAATCTAACTACAAATGTGTAATAAGGGTAATTAGTACCTTGCTTGAGTTAATTGATTAAAACTGTGATGTTTGGTCCTAAAGTAATTGGAACTCTGTCATCTGTGAAGGTCATGCCTATTTTCTTATATGTGCAAGGTACTGAAAATGTAATAAAGATGTATCAAAACCTCAAGACTTAATAATAGCAGTGGGAGATCAGGGTGAATTATAGAAATTTAAGTACACTACTGCTGCTTTAATAATGTGAAGCAGTGTTGGAAACACTTAAAACATTTTGCTAAATTGAGGTCTTATTCACCTGCTTTAAATGACCAGACAATAACGTGCCCTTTTCGTTGCTTTTGAGTGCTCAGAATGTTTATTTCCTTAGGCTAAACATGGCAACAATTTACCAAAATTCAGCTGGCCTCATTTTACCCTCATTTAAGTTTCAAAAATAGAATATTCATTGGTGGTCTTACCATACCACCATGTTGCCTTTACCACACTTAGGCTTCTCAGAATGCAGGTACTCTCTCATTAAGTAATAGACTATTTGTTGGCATTACTTAGCCAAGATTCTCATTGGGATGCCAATACCTGACCAAAGGTGCCAATGTTTGGTGTCTTTTATTTTGTTACATTAAGGCTCAGGTCTCGGTCCTGAGACTAAAAGAATGGTTTATGTTGAGCTCTACTATCCTACTTACACAACCACCTTTGGAAATTAGCTCCTACTTCAATTTTTTTTTAAGTTTTTGTCATAGGGTGCATGAGCTCGCCATGGAGAAATCACTCCACAGTGGGGATGGCTACATAGCGATCTCTTTTCTCTCGGGATTTTGGGCTGCACACACACACACACATACACTCGGTGTGACTTTCAAGTCACCAGATCTGAGATCTGGGACTCAGACTGCAGTCGGCCACATGGGAGTACTGTGCCTTAACCACCACGCCGCTGCCTGCTGGCCCCAGGAAGTTAACTTCTTAACTCCCTGTGGAGAAAAGTAATGACTGCATTTCGGCAGAGCAGCCTGGTGAGAGGGAGGGTTTTGGTTCAGACAAATCTAGCTTCTCCACATCTATGTTAATCTCATTTGTAAAACTAGTCATAATTGTACCTCTTAAAGGGTTGTTCTGGTTATTAATTCTGACAAATAACACACTGCCATAGAAAATGTTTAGTGCATTGTTTGACATATACTAAGTGTTCAATATCTGCTGTTATCCTTAGAATCAAATCCCAGATAGAATACTTCATTCTAAAACTTCCTGTATACATAATCCAGGTGGTGGTCTTTTATTACCCAATTTTCAAATATCTGAGTAGTGATTAAACATATATGGTCTCTTGCCTCAAAGAAATATGATGGTTTTATGTAACAAAGAGATTGTCACAGCTTCTAGGATCCTCAGCTCTCTGCGTTCTTCAAGACCTCCTACAGCAGTCTTTCAGCATCTAATCATAGCTCAGGGTAGCATGTCTGATTACAGTACTTGTCTTTCATAGGTTGGCATAAGATCCCTGCAGCAGTACTCTGCCCTCATTCCCCTTCTCCAACCTCCCTCAGCACAGCTGAAGCGCATTAGTTACTGAAGGCACTCAAGTTCCAAGTTCTTCACAGTCACACTGCTTGCCACATGGCATTCCAGTGAATGAAACTGTTACCTTTTACCCTTCTGAAAAGGCACTTTCCAGATAATATAATAGAGATGATACATTTCAGCTTCCTGCTTGAAAAATCTAAGCATTTATCAATATAAAACAATAATTTATACATATCAACTAACGGGAATTAGAATGAAACTGTTATGAATAAGCCAGTCATCTCTCGTATCTCCTCCCAGCACTCCTGAATCAGATTTTCCAGATTCAAAAGGTGGTTCTCAGTGTTGTTTCTTCCCTGTTACAGCCTGCAGTGTACATCAGAATAAGGAACCGAGCCCAGGACGGGTATCTGACAGTCACTGGGAATCTAGCTGACACGAGGGCTACGTCTGTGTGCATTTCTCCCTACAGTGGAAAGAACACTCAGATCTGGTACTACTGTCGAGGACTCTTTAAATCCAAGGTAAACCACCTCAACTGCTCTAGTATCTCCCTTGTGGTGTCTGTCGTTTTTTTTGTTGTTTTTTTTTTTTTTTTGATTTTTGTTGTTTTTTTTTGTTGTTGTTGTTCTAAACTAGAATCTTTCCAAATGAACTGGCATTATAAAATAGTGCAGCTTCCTAGAAATAGTCCACTGCATGATCATAAAAATACTGACATGTATATTATACTAAAGTATTTAAGTAAAATGGACTTAAAGAATTTTCAATCTAGAAAATCATTGCCATTTTTAAGTAAAATCTATTATCCCATACTACAGATATCCCTAAATGATTTTTTTAAAAAAATTAAGTCCCTTGATCTGAACTGGATAACATGATTCCAAAACATTCCTGGGCAGCTCAGATAAATCAGCTCTCTGTACAATTCCAAACATGTTGAAACCCTTTCCTTTTCAAAATGTACAACGAAGTTGAAGAAACTATGACACCCCCCCCCCATTTTGTTGATGCTACAGAGAGTAGAGCTCTAGTTTAAACATTAGACCCATGCTTGATTGTATCACTACTGGATTGACTTCATCTCATGCTTCAGAAATGAAAATCATTTAAAAGTAATTATTACCTGGCTATCTGTAGCCATCACCCAAAGTTTTCTGAAAAGAAAACCAGGTTTGACATAATACACTTCAGTGAAAAGGGACTTAACATGTAATTCCAATTCAACAAACCTCTGCTGTCAGATGCAAACACCCTTTTAATAACAAGTACCTCTGTTTCAGTAGGTTTATGCTTGTATCGTCTCCTCCTGGCCATGAAGAACATATCAACTATAACTCAGTCAATCTTTTTTATACTGTATTCTTTTTCAATAAGACAGCCACTTAATGTCCATGATTTATTTGTTTGCTGGAAAGAAAAGGCACCAAGTTTGATGTATCTATATTTTAGCACACACAGTTCTGCTTTCTCTTTCCCCTTTCAGGCAAGTGATACATGTCTTGATGTGATTGGTGGCCGGGACACACCTGGAGCTAAGGTGGCTTTATGGACTGAGCACGGGCAGTTCAGGCAGAAGTGGAGGGTGAATAAAAATGGAACCATCAGCTCATATCTCAGCGATCAACTCGTTCTTGATGTTAAAGGTGGGCCTTTGATAATATCTAGTGTTGTGTCCCTATGTATCAATTTAAGTTCCAAACCTCCTCCTCCCAGGCAAAGGCCACCCTTACGTATTGAAAAAGGTCAAGATGTGCAGTTTTACAAACAAAACACTTAGTCATAATACAAAGCATAATGGGGCCAGCAGATAGTATAGTAGTTATGTCATTGGACTTCCACGTGGCCAGACAGTGTCCATCCTGGTGGTTTGAAACTCATGCAGGTTGGTCATATGTACGTGCATGCTCAAGATCCCAGGAAGAAGATGGGGAAGGGATTGTGTGGCCATCCCTCCTGGGGATGATTTCTCACTTCCCCTCTCACTGTCTGTTTCCCTTTCTCTCCAGAGAGTGCACTTTCCCTAGGACAAAACTTCTAAACAAAAAAGAAAAAGAAAAAGCCAAATAGCAAAGTCTAAGAGGGGCTTTGTTGATTAGTACAATTGTAAAAATTTTTATTTGCTACATGGACTCAATAATTTTATACTTGAAGCATTATACACCATAAAATTAGTGTCATGTTTCTTAAAAGCCAACATCTCTAACTTTTTGCCATAAGTTGCCATAGTCCTTATCAGTTGAAGATAACATTATAGTATTCTCGACTGGACTGGGGAGAAATGTACACACGTTGGAATATTCACTTTGCAAGCAAAATAATGTCATTGAATGTATAAAAGAACTTGAAATAAAAATTTACAAAAAAAGCACCCAGTTTAAAAGGAGGATAGGTATCAATCTTGTTTTTGAATTCAGCAAGGTCAGAGCCAATATTATTCATGGCCACTGCTTTAATGGGGTTACTCAGTCACTGCTAGCTTACAAAAACCAACACAGCACCTGAAGTCCGGCCAGTCCCACAGAGCACCCTGTTCTGAAGAGTTGCATTGTTCTGGCACACGGCTCACACAACTGTGTATTGTACCTTTTTGTTCTTTAGCTGGAGTCATCATCAGACCCAGCTTGCAGTGAATCATGGCCAAGCCTGTTCAGACTCAGTTTTCCACTTCAGATCGCTTTGTTAATGATACATTCTTCCACCCCAGCAGTAGGCTGAACAAAAGCTTGAAAAAAACATCAAGTTGCCAAACACCTGCATGAACAAATAACCCTTTCTCTGGGAATTTCTATTTTAGGAGGAAATTATTGTGACAAGACACATGTCATTGTAAATCAGCCTTTGGAGGGAGAAGACACACAGCAATGGGACATTGAAATATTGTGAGAGAATCAACAGTATTCCTAGAAAGTGCCGAGGAAGAAGGAAACCGCCATCTCTCATTGACTCGCGCACATGCAAAGGAAGCTACTGTCTGCACACTCCCGGGTCACTGAGCAGAGGGGCTTTCCCCCAGCCCTTACCACGGAAAAGAGCACAGTACCTTGCCAGTTTAGTCAGTGTTCCTGTGAAGAACGTGTGTTGATCTGGGGTGAAGGCTCTATTCCTAATTGATCTCCAGTTGTGGTGAGCAAGTTTCCTGAACAATTCTGTTTTCTCTCCTTTCCACCAAACGTGAATCCTGCTCCCGACTGCCAGTCATAGAACGTGGTGGGGGGGAGGGGTGCTGTCACCCTGTTACTAGTTATTAATACTCTGCCAAATGCTGGTGTGAGAGCAAGGCACAGGGGAACAAACACCTGTAGTCATCATACTTTGGCAAAAAGATCATTTTTAGCTGCATCTGAAAATGTATTTAATAAACCTTCCTGTTGAGCTGCTGTGTTAGATAAACCTTAAAGTTTGTATTCTGAGGCCTTCATACTGAAGTACCCCGTAAGTGTTTATCCTTATAAATGATCCCAGAAAGGGACCTCAGCTTTGTTAGAAAAAAGGCACACAGTGGATGGAGCACTTCTGTGGCCATTCTTTCCTCTGTCCTTGAAACCAAAAACAAAAGACGAATGACCTCTGGCCAGCCTTGCCCTCTGTTGAACGAAGACATCCCTCTGGACCACAAAACTAATGGTGGTTACCTATCCTGGTGCTATGACCTCACCCTAGACTTTGCCTGATCTGCTCTTAAGGAGATGTGTCTAAAAAGGCTACGTTGCTTAAATGTAAGAATAGTCCAATTCTTTGAAGCAATTTCAAATGTCCAAATTAAAGCAGTATTTGAGCCTTGACCTTACCATCTTACTATTCAAGTTTAAGGTGGAATTGATTTCTCTACCAAATAACAAAACTCAGTTTCACTCCCATTTCAAATAGCTTTCATCCTTGCAAAATCAGGTGAGAACTCCTCTTTGACTTAGTTTCCAGTAATCACCACCTTTAATTGCACAATTCGCAAGCATTTTTTTCCTCCTGAGCTGCACTTAAACTTACAGTAACACACTAGTTGCTTTTATCCCTGATGTCCTCCAGAAAGCAGAAAAATGCTATTTTTATATAGAAAGATTGAATTCTCCAGTGATATTTTTAAAAATGTCAATTTATATGCACTTTAGACTGTAAAGTAACAGTGACTGGTTTAAACTGACACCCACTATTTTGAGTATTTTTTTATAGACTTGGTCTTTCCATGTAAATATTGGGCGTTTCTTCCTTCAGTCTCAGGCTCTTGTCTCTTACGCAGCTCTGTACAACTCCCCACGTCTGTAGAAGTTGAGTGCCTCTCATTGGTGAGACAGTATTATTTAATGAAACTTATGTTGCAGGGGTAACTTTATTTTAACAGGGATGGGTGGGAGGGAGTCATGTTATTCACAATGGTATGTGTATTTTCACTGTAAAAAAACAAGTTAAAAATTCTTTGTGGTGTTTAAAATTTCTCTAGAGCCAAGGAAGCTCTTTAAAGAAGTTATTTCTTCCAAAGAACAAAGACAAAGCCAGGTTAACATTTAATTCCAAATGATACACTTTATTAGAGTTGTGCCTTTTCTACCACACTGGAATAAATACATTTGTCAGAAGTATGGTTCTGTCACTTCCTGGGCCCCTTGGTGATTTGCCCTTTTTCTGTGTGTCCCTGCTAGTACAGCTTAACAACTTGTCACAGGAGGTCTCAGGTTAGATGACATGCTTGTAGAGTAAGCTGAACTGTTCTCCGTTTACCCACCTGTGGACTCAAAGCTGCAGTGGCTACTTAGCACTTAAATATCTGCTGTCTTGTACGCACATGTTGAAAGTGAAGAGTTGATTCTGCGGTGGCACTAGACTACTTGGATTAAACATTCTGTCCAGAGGGATAATACCAGGCTTTCCTTTTCCTCATCTGAGGGAAGTTTCAGGTCCTTGACAGAAATAGCTGAACTGTTCCAAATTTGCTTCAGTGCATTCATATGTGATAAAGGAAAGCGAAGTCCATGAGACTGAAAAGGATAAATTAGTCAAAAAAAACACCACTACTTGTGTCACTGAGTTGGCATTTTAATATAAATTTCCCAAATTCGATCTCATTATTTTCATATTTGTTTAAATTTTGTCAAAGGGGGCATATGCTCACGAGAGAGAGACAGAAAGTGAGAAAGCATCCCTCTTGGGGAATGGTCACATCACAATCCCTTCTCCTCCATCTCTCCCTCCTTTCAGGGCTTTGGGAGCACACACATGTGCCAGTGTGTGTCTCAAGCTGCCGGGTCTGGATTTGAACCAAGCAATTGGCCATGTAGGATCCAGCCACTCTAACCACCACAGACTGGCCCAAACACTTCATTATTTTTTGATACCCTTCATATCTATGAAGCTTGTTTCAGAAAAGTTATTTACATAATTTGTAATTAGATGACTTACAGACATTACCAACTCCCATATAAAAGCTCAGAGTTCATGAAAGGCATTCTAATTTATGTAGGTTGTATCAATCATTTGAAATGCTTCACATTTATTATTATTACCTTTCATATAAGGCTAATATGTTTTAAACCTGGTGTATCACAGAACTGTCAGACTGAATCAGCCCATGCAAGCACTTTTGTCAGCTATATGAAACGGTAAGTCCATACTACAGCCCATAAAAAGCACACCACCTATAAATCAAAACTAATGTCTTCTTCCAGCCCCCACCACCAAACCACAGGGAAGGCATTTGTTTTCATTTGGAACCAACCTCTGTCTCCTCTTCATTTCCCATCATGTGTGTTTCTCTTCTGTTCTTTAAGGAATGATAGATGTAAACCATTTTTTCATGAGTTTCATCCTTTAAAAAAAAAAAAAACAACTATTGAAGGCTTCAGTATTTAAGGGGATACTTAAAGGGGGTACTCAGTTCCAGTAGGCCATCACAGAAAAATACAGGTGGTAAAGTGAAATTTATTGAATACTATAAAGAATCTTTTTAATAAAAAGATTTATATACACACACACATACATTGTACTTCAGCAGTTATCACAGATTTCTGTTTCTGTGTAGCAGTTAATGGGCACACTAAGTCATTTGTTTTTACAAAAATGAAAACTTGAGTGCTACGTGGAAAAGCATCTTCGAGAACTTAATTAGGAAGCAACTGTTTATGTTATCAAAGAAACACTCCAATTACTTCTGATCCTACCAGCAATGTCATGTTTTGCACTGAAAATTTTTTGACATTCCTAAGTATAAACTGACAATGTATGAACACCTAGGAATGACCAGCTCTTGAGAAAATAAGCTGTGTGATCTATAAGAAAATTTGTTTCAGTCACATAGCCTACCGAACGGTGTCTGCTTCCCTCACTCTCCATCCTACACAACAGTGCAACTAGTATCTCTTTCAGAAATGTTAGCCATTTCCATTACCTCTTAGATAAGGGTCAAAAACCATGGCCTGACACACAGTCTCAAATTAGTTATCAGTCTAAGACTTTCTTAATAGAAATGTTGAGAGGGTGCTTCTAAAGTTTTACAGGGGTCTTCAAAAAATTCATGGAAGAGGCATTATTAAAAAATGGCATAAACCTTTTGTACCAAGAGTATTTTAATTTTTTTTCCACAACCCTTTTGAAATGTATATAAGTATGTGTGTACGTATATGTATATGTACATATTTATGTACATAAACATATACACACCCAGTGAGACTCGGGACTTTATAATTTTTTTTAATAATTTACTTTTTATTTATTCATTCATTTATTTTATTTTGACCAGAGAGAAATATACAAAGAGAGAGCGAGAGGGAAAGTGGGAAAGCAAGCCACCAAGTTCAGAACTTGAGAAGCTTCCCAGGTCAGCTGATGGTGCATGACCAGCTACTCGATTTGAGTTCTGGACCCAGTGGCTCATGTGCACGCTTGCCCAAAATGCTGAGAGAAAGGGCTCCAGGGAGACCGCTCCTCATGGGAGGGCAGTACTTTCTCTTTCTCTCTGGTGAGTGCATGCACCCTCTAGCTAATTTAAAATAACTAAATGAGCAGCTTTCCCAGTAGATTCCATGGTCAGTGAATCACTGGGCTTAGTGGCAAGGTTACAGAATGTGTATTTTGTTCTCCATGGTTTATAGAAAAGAATTCATGAAGAATATCAATGAAGCTACATATAAAGACAGATCTTTGTAGTATTTAGTGGTTGGAGAGGGACTAAGGCAGGGAGACTCATGCACAGGGTCTGCAGCTGCCCAGGTGGAGCAACATGGCAGGGGAGGATGGAGGCAGACACCACCTAAGAGGTAAGGCAGGAAGGTTCTTGGGGAAAGGACAAGCCCCCAGATTTAGAACTGAATAGTTAGATGCAAGTGTTATCTGACTTCGAATGATGCCATTAAGCTGTGAAAACAGGAGGATTCCCAAAGGAGATGGGCGGGGACCAACGGTTCGTCTGGTAACTTCAGGCCTGTGATAGAAATATCTTGGAAAGAAGAGAGAACCTCCTCTGCTCTGCATACTCACAGAATGGTCCTGATCTGGTCCTACTGTGAGGACGATGTGGTCTTTAAACTGCAGTCTCACTATACTGTCCAGCCTCGGTAATTTTCCTCCTAGAAAACCCCAAAGAGAGAAAGCCAGACTTGAGAAAATGATACTGGCAGATTCAGACTTGCTTGTAAATGCAGTTGTTCAGGAAACACATTTATTAAAAATTTGCAGGTGAATCCAATCATGGGGCATCAGGTCAAGCATTTGCTTATCCCAAAGAATAATTTACATCCTTAGGGTATAACACAGACATACAATTAGATAAATAACCATGTAAAATAACAGTACATGAAATAGTTATAAATGATACCATTAAAGTACTGTAGCTACTGCAAGACCATGTACCTTCTGCACAGAACACTTAACTTCCCGCTTTATCCTCTAAAGCTTCTTGCTCAACACATGGACCCTGGAAGGTCTCTCTCAGTTCAAACTGCACCACTCCCCCAATTACTCCTGGAAAAGTCATGATGTATGTTTCTATGTTTTTCTTTGCAAACATGTGTCATGACTCTTCTGATGACCCAATATTTATGTCACTCTAGCAAATTATTCTATGCAGGTCAAGTGTAGTGTCCTAGAAAAGCTGCCTGATAAAGTTCACAGAAAAAATACTCTTTGAAACTAGACTGAACCCAGTAAAAAAGCAGCCACTGAAAACAGACTAGCCTTACAGTGTCATCAGAGTGGAGAAACAGTCAAGGGATCCTAACTTCATTGAATATAATGGCTAAGATGAGGAAAATGCTAGGGAAAGTACTTGGGGCCATAAGCCAGTATTCAACAAACTGTCCTGCTAAAGGTTAAAAACATAGGCTGATAAGACATTGGTATTTTTATTTTCTTTTTTTGGAGAGGTTTTGTTTTTTGGGGGTTTTTTTGGTTGGTTATTTGTTTTTAGCTATAGGGCGTGTGCACTCACCAGACAGAGACAGAGAGACAGAAAGCGAGAAATCACCCCCCAGGGGGGATGGCCACGCCGCAATCCCTTCTCCTCCATTCTCCTCTTGGGAACACATGCATATGTGCCCAGCATGAGCTTAAGACACCGGATCCGGAACTCGAACCGCAGTCGACCACAGGGGAGTCCAGTGACATAGCCATTATGCTAACTGCTGGTCCCAAGACATTGGTATTTTGAATTGATGCAATTAAAACCAAGTTCTTAACATCCTCCAAAGACCATAATAGACATATGCAGAGAATCGATATTAGAAGGGGCCCTATGGATTGTCTATTTCAGTGGTTCCCACATAGTGATAAATAAGACATTCATAAGAAGTTAGTAATAACATTCCTTTCACTCAGCCCCACTAAGAAAGCGAAAGCAGCTCAGAGCTGGCTTGCAGTCCTAGCTGGGTCTTAGTGTTCTCCTGTTAAATACGCAACTCAGAGCACCAACGTCAAACCAGAGCACCTGATGACCATGACGATCAGGACAAAAGAAGACTTCATCTTCATGTCAGAACTCAGGCAAATGCAAGAACAATTTTCAAATCACAGTAACAAAATATCCCCCGTCCTGGTTACTATGAGTAACTGCTGCTACTTTATACTTGGATAACTTTAGTCTCATTCATTCCTCCTGCCTCCTAGACAAGATTTAGAAGAGACCTAATCATAGAATCCCTTCTATTTCCTGATAGCAGACAATCCAGAGCAAAGCCTTGCTTCCTTGAACACTGTCCAAAACTGAAACTCAAGTCCAAACCCCATAAATCCTTTCTAGCACCTTTTTATTGGGATGTCCTATAGTTCCCAAGAGTGCATGATCTTCCCCATTCAGGCAAATCAGTAAATCCAAGTTCGGGCGTGTGTTCTTGGTGGTCTTTGCTACAGGACGTTGACATCACCCATCCAGATGTGCATAATGTCATGTGCAGCCTAAACCTGCTATAAATTAGTCATCTGCATCTTGGAGAAGGTCGATGGTAAACTTGCGCATTCTTGTATTTCACCTCCTAATGACAACACTTACTCATCTCTGACTTAATTCCAATAAGATTATTTCAGTGTTCAAGTTCTTAAACTTCCTGAATATTACGAATACCAGGGTACCAGTACATACACACAGTGCTCACCTCAAAAGACAAGGCTCTGAATTCTCCATCACCTTGGGATACAAATCCTTTTAAAATAACTTCTAAGGAGAACCAGCAGATGGCAAAATGGTTACGCTGCTGGACTCCCAGGTAGTAGACTGCAGTTTGAGTCCCAGACCAGTCAGCTTGAAACTCACATTGGGCACATGTCCATGCATGCCTAGGATCCTGAGAGTAGAATGGAGGAGGGATTGCAGCATGGCTATCCCCCTGGGGGGGTGATCTCTCACTTTCCATCTTTCTGGCAAGTGCACGCCCTATGTAAAAATATCTCAAATAAACAACTTTTTTTTTTTTTTTTTTGAGAGGTTTTTGCTATAGGGTACATGCACTTGCCAGAAAGACAGAGACAGAGAGACAAAGTGAGAAATCACCTCTCAGAGGGGATGGCCACGCCATAATCCCTTCTCCTCCATTCTCCTCTTGGGATCTTGGGCAAGCACACACACGTGCCTGGCGTGAGTTTAAGCCACCGGGCTCAAGACTCAAATCACAGTCTACTACATGGGAGTCCAGCGTCATAGCCATTACACCAACTGCTGGTCCCAATAAATAACTTCTAAGATTCAGGATGCCAAAGGCTGATTGCAGTATGTCTAGTTCAACCACACACATGAGACAGATCTACATCCCTGTTCAACCACATGTTTTATAATGTCCATCTGCTCAAGGAGAATGCTACCCAGGAAAGCCTCAGACATCCCATATAAGTCCCGAGCCACCTAGGAGGAGATAGCCAGCTCTACCTGGCGTTGATAGCTCTGTTCCATCTCCCACACAGTAAGGTGGCAGTCTGTGCATAATAAAGTCCTTCTTCATGTCGGATGACAACAGTTCTTTGGTACCCTCCAGCCGGTCTGCAAGTGTCCTCAGAAAGCCACTTAGTTTTCTTGTTGCAAAAGGTATGGTTTCCACCTGCTAGAAACACAAATGTGAGTTCTGGCCCAGACCCAGCAGAACGTAGTCTCCACAGTACTGAGTATAACCATGAACCACAGCATAGCCAGAAGTCCATGTCAGTCCTAGCCCTTAAGAACAATATCCCATTAGTTTTTTGTAACCATTGTTCATCTTGCGCTACCCATTATTTGCAAAAAAAAAAAAAAAAAAAAAATCAATTTCAGGATTTTGTGTGGAAAGAAGAATCCTTGGAAATACAGTGTGGTTTGGCTCCACCTTGGAGAAAACAAATCACTGTCCTAAGGTGACAGCTTCAGACGGTGAAAGCAGCCTTTGCTCAGCTCAGCAAACTGTCTTATTTCCAAGTTTAAAAAAAAAAAAGAAAAAGCCAGGAAATAACACCTAGGCCAGCCTCTCTAGTGGGTCTATCCTAGCTAGTAATCTAACGTGCTAAATCTCTAGTCCTCCTGGGCATATCATTCATTTATTCACTCAGCCAACATACCCAGAGTGCCTGCTACTGCCATGTGAGCCAGAACCCTCTGAACAACACCTGCAGTGCTCTGGATGGCCACACGGCACACATCAGTCTATAAACCACACAGCTTGGGAGGGCAGCACTGAAGACAAGCCTGGCTTATCAGGGAGGAAGAGCCCTGGGATCTTGAGGAGGCAAGGCTTTGGCTGGCCCAGCTGCGGATACCTCCCCCCTTCATTCTCCCCTGCCTTTAGTCCTTACCAGGAGCAGCTGCCGGGGAATGCCTGCCCGTAGCGCCACATCTTCCTTTGCTGTATCAAACACAAGCCCTGAAATGGTGTCCAACAGGATATCTCCCCACGAACTAGACCATGCAGCAAGAAAGAAAGTGAACAGATTCAAAATACTTAGTATTTACTAGTAATGCCAAAAGCTACAAGTTGGGTTCTCACTGCCATGCATTTTGAGTTCAACTACTTTGACATTGGTCAGCATAAAAACCTAAGATGAAATTTCTTCAACCACTCCTGCTTCCCTTCCCACTCCCAGACACTCACTTGGAGAGTGGGAAGCTACACTTTATTCATGGTTTCTCTTAAGGATATCCGAAAGTCAGTTACATAGGGCCATAAAATAGAAAGTTTGAGGGACCAAATGTTTAAGTAAAGAGAGCTTTGTAGGAAATTTTAACAATCATTCTGGAACCTAGACAAACATTTTATGTGCGATAAATCCAAAAGACATATTTGGAGTAACAGGAAGGTCTCTGGACTATGTGAATATTCGTACAACTGTTACATTTTCCTGTGTCACTTGTAAATGTTCAGTAAAAGATCCACCAACATCAACAATTTCAAAACCAATGATTTCCGACCATGGTGCTACCGGGCAGAGAATAGAGCCGCTGTCCCACAATAACACCGAAGCAGAAGCATCTATGGTCAATTACCTTTGCTTTGTTTGGGGTATTCAGAGTTAGCTCATTCCTAAGTGCCAGTGAAAGAAGCAAACTCTATGGGGTTGTACTCTTTAAATATTTCTTAGCTATTTAAAATTTTCCCTGTCACCAACAGATCTCAAACTGCTGGCTATGTGCCAAATGGAAATTCACAGTATGACTTTTTGCTTCTCACTCAGTAAGCAAAATGAACACTTTTATGCTTCCCTCCCAGAAAAGTGGCAAAGGACAAAAGCCACGTGAGAGACACTCTCCTTAAGACATCCGCTACCTAGTGGCCTCACTGTTCGGTGACTCGATGTTCTATCCGACCTCCAGCTTGTACTGAACTTCAGCCTGGAGCACACATGCAGCACTCTCAGTGGCACATACCTTTGGGGTAGAGGAGGGAGTCACGCTGCAGCAGCTTGTGGAGGAACTGAGTAGCAGTTTCACAGTGTGCTCTGAGCTCAGAGTCTCAGCAGATCTTGGGACTTTCCAGAATTTAGGAATGACACCCCTTTGAGGGGGTCACTTTAGTAAAACAGTCAAGGCAACTTGCTGAACTCCCCACTCAGCAGACCCCACATGTTCCCACAATACTACCTCAAGAGGTGTTATGGGGACCCAAATCTTCCTATCACAGTCCCTGAAGGAGCACCAGGTTGAAAGCATGGAAATAGTTCTGGGTAGCAATAATCCTTGAGTTACATTTTCACCATTCTAGTTTCAGCAGCACTGACCAAGACAATGGTCAGAGGCCAGCCTCGACACCTCAGTCATGGGGCAACCCTTGGTCCTAGGCACGCAACCTTCATAACTTCGAGCTATCCCAGCCCTGCTAACCAGAGAAGGGTTGGGTGGGAGCCAGAGGCAGCCAAGATCTTACCCTTGGGATTGGGAAACAGAGTGAGTCAGGTACTTAATCACAGAAACAAAACCTAACAGGTACAATGAGATTGAGGGAGGTTACAGTAATTGATGATGGCTTGGGATGAGCCAACATTATAGAAAAACAGAAGCTGAGGAATGAGAAGGAAGGAGTAAAGACTGACTCCTAGAGGACCAGCAGATGGCATAATGGCTATGTCACTGGACTCCCACGTCGTTGACTGAGGTTCGAGTCCTAGAACCAGCGGCTTAAAACTCATGCTGGGTGCATATGTGTGCATGCCCAAAATCCCATGAAGAGAATGGAGGAGAAGGGATTCTGGTGCGATCATATCTCCAGGGGGTGTTTCTTGCTTTCTGTCTCCTTGTCTCTCTCTGTCTCTCCAGCGAGTGCACATGCTGGATAGCAAAAATCTCTCCTAAAAACAAAAAAACCTGGCTACTACAAAGCCAGTTGGTGTAGGTAAGAGAAATGATGACGACACCAAGAAAATCATTGGGGAAAGAGAGGGAGGGGAAGAGAAGCCAAGTAACATTCACGATGGAAGACCAGAAGATGCATAGATGATCAGTAGGCCAAACTGTGTGGCTGCCGAGGTCCAGAGCTACCCTAGATCCTCAAGTTCATTCTGGATGCAGTTCTGTGGCCTATGACTCACTCCCTCAAGTGCCTCTGTTCTTTCTGAGCTGGCCTCTGTGATTTTCTGTTCCCCGCTATGCAAGGAACGTAACCAGCCACAGTGATAAGGCCATTTTTCAACATGGCCTTTGACTTGTGGGCAGATAATACCAACCTCAGGCCAGCCTCCAGCTAGTTCCTCTAGTAAGTCTCTTAAACACAGGGGTGAATTTTACAGTGAAAAGTCAGAGGAGACAGAATGGCTTACCACTTGTTTTGCAAGTTACGGCTTTGAAGGTGAGGGAGGACTTGCTGTCATTTGGGCCTGCTATGTCCTTTGCTGCTGACCTTGTGACCTACCCCCACTTACTCATCGTTTATGACTCACTCGCTTTGGTGTCAAGTCATTTTTGAAGGCTTCCCTGAGCCCCAGTTTAGCTAAGAGCATTCCTCTATGCTTTGAGAGTCTCCTCTGTGAAACTACAATGGAATTCATCACTGTTTGGTAACAATTTCTCTCTCTGTTCTCTTACTATTGCTTACAGAATGTGAGCTCTCTAGAGCCCCTTAATGCAGTGCTTACATCCCAGCTACTAGCACAGTATCTATCGCATGCTTTCTGAATACAGGAGTGACTGGTGTTTTCATGTGACCTGAACCAGCAAGGTTGCTCCTTTCTGGAAATAACTCAGATAGCACTGCCACCCAGTTCATCACCTGACTAGGTACTTGCTGAAACACAACGTGACTACTGACAGTCATGCGCTTTTAGTGCCCACTGATCCAGACTGCCTTTCCTACTTTAATTTCATGCCCTGTAAAAAGTGAAACCCTTAAGAGAAACCAAGAAGATTCAGTGGTCCCAGTTTCTGTTGGGGATACTGAAAATATTTTAGAAACAGATAGTGCAAATGTTTGCACACTACTGTGAATGTAATTAATGCCAACTAATGATACTCTTAAATGTGCCTCCCCAAAAGCATAATTTACCTTTTATCGTTTACCACAATGTTTTTTCAGAAGAGAGACAATGTGCTCACCCACTCCAGATCACTAACATACCAACAAGTACAGTTTGTTTCTTTCCAAACTATGGGACCCTTTATGAGTGCCCATTCCCAGTGTTTCAGTGTCAGACTGAGGGGACCAGTGGGTGGTACAATGGTAATGCAATGATCTGTGAAGCTGGACCCACTTGGGAAGGTCCACAGTTCACATCCTGAAGCCTCTCTGTGCATGCTGGGTGTAGACACAAGTGCCTGTGACCCAGCGTGGCTAAGGCTGGGGGTGGATCACAGCATGAACACCCTGTTAAAGATGTTTATCTCTCCCACTCTGTCTCACACATGCAGGAGATAAATAAATAAACAACAAAAAGAGATGCATGATACTGCCCACAGGAAGTCCTGATGGGCCAATCACAATCAAAGAAAGATGGAAGTCCTAGGAATTTGGATGAGAGACAGTGGCCAACTCCCTCATGTTCTGCTGCACATGGCTGCCATGGGCCAGAACTTGGAGCTACCCCAGGATGTTAGGCTAAGAGGCAGAGTGCTTACCTGTTCTGGTAGGTGCTGATGGTCACATGGGTAGAGTGGGCCAGCCCCGGAGGAGTGTCTGCTTGGTGAATGGTCCCTCTAGGAAAGTACAACAAGTCACCTGGCTAAACAAACAAAAAGGGATGGGGCATTAGTGAGAAGTACAGGTGGGGCTAGCACATGGCTGGATCCCACATGGCCAACTCTGCAGTTGAAGTCTAGAACCCAACAGCTTGAAAACACATCGGGTGGGGACCAGAGGTGGCATACTGGTTGCATTGCTGAACTCCCATGTAGTCAAACACTGTTAAAGTCCTGGGCCTGGCAGCTAAAAACTCATGCCAGATGTGTGTGCGTGCATGCCCAAGACCTGAGAGGAGAACAAAGAAAGGATTTTGGCGTGGCCATCCCCCCTGGGGGTTGATTCCTTGCTTTCTCCAGTGAGAGTTCATGCCCTATAGCAAAAAAAAAAAATCACTCTTTAAAAAAAAAAAAAAAAAGAAAGAAAGAAAGAAAGAAAGAAAAGAAAACGCATTGGGTGTGCGTGCTCAAAATTCGGAGAGAAGTGGAGGAAAAAGATGTGGTCATCCCTGGTGGGGATGGGGGAGACACGATTTCTTACTTTCCCTCTCTGTCTCTTTCCAGTGAGTGCAAAAATCTTAGAAAAACAAAACAAATTTAAAAAAGTAAAAATTACCTTCAGGCTATGAGTATAAGGCTTGTGTGATACATAAATGAGTTGTTTTTAGATTTGGGTGCCATCTCCAGGATCTCTTATTAATTATATGCAGCTATTCCAATATACCAAAAAAATCCAAAATCAGAAACACTTCTGGTCCCAAGCATCTCTAAATTAATAGGGAGTACTCAACCTGTAAAAGCATGCCTCCCCTACAGCAGAGGTCAGCAAACTTTCTTCAAAGGGCCAAATGTAAAGACAGTAAATATTTTTCATTTGTGGGGTATGCAGTCTCCATGGAAACTAGTCAATTCTGCCAGTGTAAGCCAATCACAGACAAGACCTTAAAGAATGGATATGGCTGTGCTTCAGTAAACCTTACAGAAATAGGCAGCAGGTCAGATGTTTGGCTTATGGGTCATAGTTTGGTGATCGCCAAGAGCATAAACATTAACCAGAAAATCACCAATTATTTATTTATTTAAGTCCCGTATGGTATAGGCACCCATGCTAAAATGAAAGAGCGTCCCTCCCACTCCCCTAGTTATTGGCACATAGGCAGATTTTAAAATTGGGAAACATACAAGGCATTAAGAGCTAAGACTATTATTTCAAGTTTAAGAAATACAAATATGCAAATATATCAGGTTAGTAGAATCTATGGAATGGTCTGATATAGTTATTATCTTACTGCCTCTAAAGGAGATTAAACTTATGTTTTTAAAGAGAGGGTAAGAAATCTAATTCATGGAGCTATCCTTGTCCCTCTCTCCTGATAGGGACTGATGATGTCCCATCCAGGCTATGAACTCAAAGACAGAGCTTCTCAGCAGTAAGATGCCAAGGAACCAGCGCATAACCAAGCCAACTGGTTCCCCCCCACCCCCTTTAGGAATCCTTAAGAGTTTCCCTAATTACTATTTTTCTAGCAACTACATGCAAGGAGAAAGGGGGGTGATACAGAGATGGGCTGCTGCATTATCAGGAGGGAAATGAGCCACAATGGATGTTTAGTAACAAAAAATACTAAGAGATCCTGGCTGTGCTCTGCCTACACAACTTAGAGCCCACGCTGACCACAGCCTTAGATGTGGAGAAGCGGCTCAAGGCCAAACCTTCCACTTTTCCTCTGAAGAAACCAGCAGTTCACTTATTTAATTTATTGCTGTTGAATGTGGATCACACATGGAGACAGGTTATTTGGGAAATGAACTTAATACTTCCTCAGCTCACTTCTCCAACTACAAACCACCAAGACTCCTTCCAACGCCGCATGTGCACTCTGGCTGCAATGAGCCACTCTGCCTGAGACCTGTGGATACATTCCATGGAAACTATTACACAAACTCGAAACCTCAAACCTGAACTTATCACAGCAACAGAGAAAATCAGCCCAGGGACGTGTCCACCCACAATGGCCATCCCGTACCTTAAGTGTGAACTCGTGTGCGGGCCTGCCGATCCTGTCCTCTGCCTCCACGCTATACTCCCGGGCCAGGGGCACAGTCGGGTGGTAGAGGCGCCAGTGTTTCTCTCCCTCCAGCTGCAGAATGAAAACCTACGGAGAGCCGAGAGACCTGGGAGTGTCAGAGAGTTTCCTGACAACTCATACAGCAAAGTACTTCGAGAATATCAGCCCTGTAAAGGCTTAGATGAATTACATGTAATAAATAAAAAATAAAATGAAAGATCAGAAGTGTAGTTCATTCATACTTCTTAAATAAAAGTCGCCTGTACTGGTTTTCAATTTTAAAAACAGGTAATCAGGAATCCTGATGCTGGATATTTATTCTTTTCGCTTTTTCCAGCCTCACCAAGTTTTTTATACTCCACTATCTCATTCTTTTAAATCTGATAACAGAACGCTGAAAGCCCATACGCTCTAATGGAAAAGCCAAGCTTCAGATATTACTGAATGTCAAAAATCCTGGATATTGAAAAAGCCTTGGCAGATTAAAAAAAACTAAGATTTTTATTCTTTAATCAGCCAGCTGCTGCAAGGCTTTATTAAAAATATGTTAAAATATAACACTTTTGGAAAATGTAGTGATATCAAATTTCTCTCAATGAGGAAAAGAGGACTTTTTATTAATGACTCTGTGTTCACACCTTGTATGAGTGCAAAAATAAAACTATGAAATACCTAAGCCAAAGAGTTAACATTTTTTGGAAGCCACAAGAGAGTGAAATCAACACTTGTCGAGGTGCCAGTGCTTAAGTGAAACCATGAACATCATTCAAGCTGCCTTCAAGATTTTCATAAATGGAAAAAAGAAATTTTTTTTTGGCAGCTACTGAAAGAGAACAAATAAAAGCAGATGTAAGGATTATTTGTGACCTCATCTTATTAAAGACCATACTTTGAAAAGTTAAAGAAAAAACCAGTACCATTTTTCTATAGATAAACTCAATAAATACCTATTTCAAAGGTATCTGTGACTCTTTCTACTAATAAGGTTGGAAACAATCTCTCCCTTTGAGAAGGAGCAGGAAATGGGATTCTGGCCCAGCAATGGGATGAGGTCATGCTCTCTAGAGTGTGTACAGAAACGGTGGATGCAGACCTGACCCAAGGCCATAGAGAAGAGTAAACTTAACCCTGACAAGTGTACTAACTTGGGCTCTCAGCAACTCCTTCTTCTTAAAGGTGGGCAATTTTCTTCTCCTCTTACCTCAACATCATCATAATGGGGTGGTAGACCCTGAGATCCTGCGGGGGTTATGTACACATTTGAGCCAACCAAAGAGCCAAAGAAACATTCCAGCTTCTCTTGAATCCTCCAAAGCTCATCCTTTAAAAAACAAAAACAAAACCTATCAATTGATGCAGAAAAAACATTTGACAAAATTCAACATTCCTTCATGATTAAGGCTCTCAACAAAACAGGTATAGAAGGTACATTTCTTAATACAATAAAAACCAAATAGCCATACATGACAAATTCATAGCAAACAAGATATTGAATGGGAAAAAGTGAAAACTTTTTCACTAAAAACTGAAACAAGACAAGGTTGTCCACCTTCTCCACTCCTTTTCAACACAGCATTGGAAGTCCTAGCCAATGCAATCAGACGAGAGAGTGAGATAAAAAGAATTTAAATAGAAAAGGAAGAAGTTAAATTGTCCCTATTTGTAGATAACATTACTATATACATAGACAATCCTAAAAGAAAATCAATGAAAAAACTCCTAAAAATGATTAACGAATTCAATATAGTTACAGGATACAAAATCAATATTCAAATATCTATGACTTTTTACATACCAACAACAAAGAGACTGAGGCAGAAATAAAGAAAGCAATCCAATTTACAACAGACACACACACACACACACACAAATAAGTAGGAATAAATCTAGCCAAAGAAGTAAAATATCTCTACAATGAAAACTATGAAAATCTCAAAAGAAACTGAAAAAGATACAGAAAAAGAAAGACATCTCTTGTTCTTGGATTAGAAGAATTAATAAGATTAAAATATCAATACTACCCAAATTAATTTACAAATTCAATGCAATTCCCCTCAAATTACCTATGATGTTCTTCACAGAGATAGAAAAAACAATCATAAAATGTGTCTGGAATCAAAGATCCTATATTGCCAGGGCAAGTCTGTGCAAAAAGAATAAAGTTAGAAGCATCCCACAGTCTGACCTCAAAATATATTACAAAGCTGTAATAATCAAAAAACAGCATAATAATCAAAAACAGCACAAAAACACATAGATCAATGAAATAGAACAGAGAATTCAGAAATAAACCCCCAAACACAAGCCAATAGAGAAAAGCAAAGTCTTTTCAACAATGATGCACTGAGAGTAGAATTCAGACTGCGGTCATCCATGTAGGATGGTGGTCCCCTTAATTGCTAGGCTATGGAACCAGCCCCCTCTCCGCTTCTTAAGTGCTACAGAAAATGTTATCAATTCCACAATTTGACATTTCTCTTGGTCCTTTAGCTTCTGAATCTGACAACTGTGGCCTACTAGAAAAAGATTTTGAGTGAAATCACCTTGGTCCAAGTTATAGTTAAACTAGGTGACTTTTGTTTATTTCTAGAATGAAGACTTTATCACTCCCTACACCCTAAGACTGTAGGAAGCAACACAGAACAACTTACCTCCATTCTATTTAAATTTAGTGCTTCAACAGCACTGGCTCAAACACAAACAAGGTTCCTGAAATTCTCTCCTTTATAACATGAATCCCAACTATGTCTGAAGACACTGAGAAACTTGAACAATGAAAGAAGGATGGTGGAAATCTCTCTCCTGGCTGTACACAATCTCTTCTTTTCACTGACCTATCCAGAACAATGAAAAAAGGAAGGGGAAGTCTTTCTTGGATAAATACAGTATCTTCATTCTACTGACTTACCCACAGAATCAAATCTGAGTAACTAGAAGCCCATGTGTATGCCTAAAAGCAGAAAAATACAAACACATAAAAAAGCCCTACTACATTTCAATTACTGTCTTTCAACGTATAGTAAGAAAATGCCCTAAATGTGGACTCAAAAACCCTTATCAGCTCAGAAGAGTTAAGAAAATATCACGTGTGAACGCATTTTCACATATAAAATGGAGAGACCATGATGGCTGCCTCGACTATTCCAAATATCTGTGGAAGGTTTACAAGTCAGCATGTGAAAGTATCTGGTAAACTGCTGCATGTTATGGAAAATCCAAACAATTGTGATTAATTCTTCTCACCCAGACTTTTGATACATGGATTACCCAAAGCAAGTAGGAAACAAATTCTTATGGCTTTATGGGTATCTCTTATTTCCACACTATCTAGATTAACAAGCAGTGCACAGTCTGAGATCCAATAAACAAAGTGCTACCTGTCCACTGTAAGTCTCTCAAGCGAACAATGATGAAGTGCCTCTAGACCTTTACTCTCCTGACATTAGTATATCCATTCAAACATACACACATGCACGCACGACACACTCATAACCCAGTATTTAGAATCCAGCTTCTATGGGGAAAAGGTGAGCTCCTATAGCTTATAGAGCTTCTAAGTATGAACAATAAAAACGTGAAACAAAACAAAAAACAAACCAGAGTGCTTCCCGGTCTAGCCTGACGGCTGAAATTAGGCTGAAAAAGCTCATCCTTCCCATTTGAATAAACCTACCCAAAGACCAAAGTCCACAGGGCAAAGAAAATATGTTCATGGCACTCAGGTCCAGGAGGAAGAATATGCAGGGCTTACAGAGGAAGTGAGAAAGGCCATGGGGCAGATGGTTCTACAGAAATGACAGCCACAGGCACCAGACAGTGGAACACGTGCAACGCTGACAGGCTGTCCCACAGGGGCAGGCTCTGGGTTCATATATCAGGTACGTGCCTGGTCACGATCCAGGGCTGACAGAAATCACAGCCATAGAGGATACCACACATATGATAAATTATACTTCCCACTGCTCCATGTCCAAATTACAGGTAATCAACTTCACTGTATTTATTCATGCTCACAGTGCTTAGGTTTCTGATAACCCTACTGGAAGTGCTACTTTCTAGTCAGGAAAAGAGTCAAGAACAAACTCAGAAGCACTGCATCCATCATGTCCCTATTTCCTGAATTGAGCATGACTTGGACTGACAAATGATTTTTAAATTCTTTTTGGACAGCAGGGTCAAATGACTGGCATTCCAGAGGCATTTTAACTTATCATTGCTTGATCTGGAATAGTGAGACTGTCCTGAGAAATCTGAGTACTTATACCTCATCCAGAGTATGAATAAGGTCAGTACTCTTTACACAAAGGGAACGATGTTCACCAGATGTGGCCTAATGGGATCTGACAAGACAACTCTCAAATTAAATCATGGAAACATTATTGGTGGCTGATGACAGAGCCCTAGGAGCCACTAACATAGGCAGAATCCTTTCCCCTCAGGAAAGAGCCTCACAAACCTCTTTCTATTCCCATGTGGCCAATTTTTGATTCATCATGGTTCACAGAAGGGAGAATGAGGATAAAACTTTATGTGAAATGTCGAACAGGTCCTTAATTACTCTGGACCATCTATCATGTGAAGATCTCAAACCTCTATGAGAACAGATTAGCTCATGCTAAGTCAGTATGTTATTAGGTACAGAAACTGAGCATAGAGGAGGCAAATTATTTCCCAAATACCACTGATGTGGAAGAAAATTTTAAAATTAGCCAGTCCTCTGCACTCACAAATCAAAGCTATTCTCCACCTACGACCACTTCCCAGGAGCACTTCCAAAAGCACTCCTCAGTGTCATCCTTGGTCATTACTAAGGAAGTCACCTTTTTTTAAATTTTATTTACTTACTTTTTTAATTTGCCAGAGGGAGTGTGCACTCAACAGAGAGAGAGAGGAAGAGAGAGAAAGCACATGCCACTCATGGGGAAGGTTACACCACAATCCCTTCTCCTCCATTTCTTCATTCTGCAGGGATTTGGGGCAGGCACACACACACTTGGCATGTTTTTCAAGCTGCTGGGTCTAGGATACGAACTGCACAGTTGGCCGTGTGGTTACAGCCACCTTAACCAACATGCCAGTGGGTGGCCCCTGGCTCTTTTTTGAACATGTATCTAATATCTGCTCCAGTCAAAGCTCTGAAACCACCACTTAATATAGGCAGTAAAGGAAGGTAATTTCAAAAACAAAACCAAAAAGCCTTAAATTATAGTGATGGGTCAAATCAAATAGAAATATCTACCAGGGGACCAGTGGGTGGCATGGTGGTTAAGGCACTGGAACTCCCACATGGCTGACAGTGGTTTAAACCCAGGATCCAGTGACTTAAAAATCATGCTGGACACTTAGGCATGTGTCCCAAAAATCCCAAGAAAAGAATGGAGAAAAGATTGTGGCACTACCATCCCCTTGGGGAATGATTTCTCACTTTCCCTCTCTCTGTCTCTCCTTCTCTGGCAATTGCACACACTCTATAGCAAAAATCTAAAAATAAATAAAAGAAAGAATATTTACCCTGTACAAAAAAGTACACCAGCCTACAGAACATGCTCCTGGAAGTATACTGCCACTTCTATAACTTTATAAACTTGCAATATATTGGACTGTCAGAACAGTCTTGATGCATGTTTGCATAGAAAAACAGAAAAATATGTAATGACTTTCCAACAACCCAATAATTTAGTTTTTGCAGTTCAATGACAGCCAACCATGTCAGCCTTAAGTTGTTGGAGATTTTCAGTTTAGCCAAATGATAACATAGACTCTCAAGTGTTTAATTAAGCACATAAAGACCAAACAAGTGCTATTCCTTTTCAAACTAGCAGTATGCCTATCATTATCACACCACAGAGTCATCCCCCAGCTGATCTGTGGCCTAATGTTAGCTCTTTAACATGTATGAGGAGTCCACAATAGGGAACCTGTTACCTTAAATCTCTGAGGTTGGTGAAACTGAATTGTTGCCCTTTTCTGATCAAAATCTTTTCTCAGCTGAAGAAAGTGTGCTTTGCCATCTTTATTTAAAACCTTCTTCTTCCCATTGATGCACCGGCAGACATTCACGTCTCTTCCATAGTACATACCCCGGCTGCAGAGACTCTTCAGGTCTGTTAGCCTAAACAGGGACTGGTAATATGCAGCTAGGGCAGGGTCGTCTCTCTGAATGAGAAGAGGCTTCTGTTCCCAAAATTCCTGGAAAAACGTCTCTGTCTTGATGGGTGAGATTAAACTTTGAAAGAGACCACTGGGACTGTCAAAGTTTAAAGTGGAAGGCCCACCAGCTGCCTCCACCTTCACCTGCTTACAAGGAAGTGGTTCCTCTTCCTCCCCATGTTCTGCGGGCTTTGCTTTCTTTGGCATCGTTCAGTCTTCAAGACAACGCAGTGAGGAAGTACGAACCTATCAAAAGAACAAAACATACATGGTCTGGTGTACAAGGAGTGCCAGGGTTGGCTGTTCGTGGATCACACACACACTCTCTGCATGATCACTAGGCTTTCGTGAGAACTCTTCTCAAATCAAGGCTACTTCCTCCAGGATGTGAGACAGTCTTAACCCAACGCCACTTCTTCCAAGATATGACTCAGTCTCAGACACCGCTCAGATTACACATTCATCTAAAGGAAAACATGTTTTTCTTGCACATAAGCACTAAGTCTTAGAATTCATGATTTGTTTATTAGGAGGCGTAATTATCCCCAAATTAAACCATTCAACTGTTTCAGCAGTCCTTACTCATAGGTTTAACCTGTGGTTACAGATACTGCAACGTGAAAAATCTTGCACTTGGCCGCAATCAGCGGCAGGTCCCGAGTCTAATTAATGTACTCAGTTACAAACACTAGACCGGAGAACAACCAACAGCTGCCCACTGCCAGGTGCTCCTCACCACTGCAACACCCCCAGCTGCATATCCTGGACCAGTGGTGTCACCTGGTGGTTGGAGATAGATGCTGCCTGCTCCTGTCTCCTCACCAACCACCTGAACCTCTCTCTCACTGTCAAGTCTGAATAATTTTAAAAACTGCCACTTTATTGAGAACCCCCGACCCCCATTTGAGGGAGGGGGAAAAAAAAAAAAAGCTAAAACTAGAAGCTAAAAAATGAAGGCTGAAATTAGTTACATAATAAGTCTTTAAAAAGCCTTAATTTTTTCACAGAAATAAGACATCATGGGAACCAGCAGTTAGCGTAATGGCTATGTCGCTGGATTCCCACGTAGTCGACTGGGGTTCACATCCCAGACCTGGTGGCTTAAAACTCACGCCGGGCACATGTGCATGCGTGCCTGAGATCCCGAGAGGAGAATGGAGGAGAAGGGATTGCAAAAATCACCCCCTGGGGGGGTGATTTCTCGCTTTCTGTCTCTATGTCTCTCTTGTCTGGCGAGCGCACACACACTATAGCGAAAACCTCTCAAAAAAAAAAAAAAAGACGTCATAAAATATCACTATCGTTAACCTTT